AAAAAAAAACATAATAAACGAATCCATTTAAATACGACTTCCCTACGACTTTAAAAATGTTTATACACTAAAATATTTTTTTAGATTTACTAAAAAAAAACCATAATAAACGAATCCATTTAAATACGACTTCCCTACGACTTTAAAAATGTTTATATACTAAAATATTTTTTTAGATTTACTAAAAAAAAAAACATAATAAACGAATCCATTTAAATACGACTTCCCTACGACTTTAAAAATGTTTATACACTAAAATATTTTTTTAGATTTACTAAAAAAACATAATTAATAAACAAATCCATTTAAATATGACTTCCCTATGACTTTAAATCCCATCCAACGCGAAACCGGAAGCCTCAGTGACACATATGAAACATATTTTTTCCCACATCAGATGAACATGCCTGTTCCATGAAGAATAACCTAAACGTGAGTCATGAGGGGAAGATTAGACCCTGCTCTATAGCAGATAAGGGTCATATTCAGGTCACTCCATCTATAACATGCTTTATTATCCACCCTCTATAATTTCTTGGCTACATCATGTTGTTCGGTGGTTTGTCGGCGGCTTTGTGTGTGTTTGCCGCATCGACTCAGCTCCATACTAAATCACAGCTGGGCTGCCAGTCCTGTCATACAGTTATAAATAATTGGCCTTTTGTCCCATTTTTCTCTCATTTGTTCTCCATCTCTCCCTGCTATCTTAGTCTTCAAGCCTTTCTACCTTTCTCCTTATTTCCTCACCTCAAGTCTTCCTTTTTCAGCTTTCTATCACACACTCTACTGTTTTGGTTCGTCTTATCTTTTTTCTGCAGACACCCCATTTATTCCTTTCTTCTTTTGTTAGGGACTCTACCTTTCCCCGCCCTCTCCTGCCTCCGTGTTCCTGCACAGCGAGGTGGTAGTCGAGACCCTCTGTCCTAGTTTTCCTGAAACTGCTCCACATGCAGCGGTCCCACAGCAGTATGGATATACACCTAAGTGTGCATGGAGAGCCTAATTGGTCCTGCTGTTCAAATGTGGATAAAAGCAGCTATTTTTGAAGTGGACCGCCTGAATCTCAGTCCAACTCATCTAAAATGTCAGCCGGCTCCACTCTTGGGACTCTCTTAGAATAGTTTGTTTTATTTGCTTGCAATGCACAAACCTATAGTAGGTCTGGGTTCAATTCTTGCTGTTGCAGCACTTGAGTTTCACTCATTTATAAAAAAAAAACATAAAATCTTGTCTCCTGAAGTTTCCCAGAGAGTTTGTATCATTTCCCAAAGCAAAGGAAACAATGCAACTAAAACAAACTAACAGCAAATATTTTAAAGATATAATCCACTTCATCTAAATTATAGGATGCCATCTTTTGTTTTCATATTTGTTATATGCAATTATATTTCGACACAGTCTTCTTTCCTGTTGCATCCAAATAATCTATTAGTTATCCCAATTAAAAATGCTGCAAACGCAACAAGCTGGTTTTAACAGCAGAGAGGAACAAACAAACATACCTGGAGGTTCTGTTAGAAAACTCAGTAAATTCAAGTCTTTGCAACAATTAACATGATTTTAGTTTGTAAAGTATAACCAATATTATTTGACACGTTTTCTTTCACTAACTAGGAGCTGATAGACATTTTTTGTGTTTTATCCTTATTTATATTTCCCTCTTTATTAAAAACAAAGTCTTAAACAGCAGAAAACTGCATTTCTTTTAGTAATAGGATGAATAAATGATGCATTTTGGTCGTTTTTTCCTCAAATTTCCTAATAGAAATTTTTAAAAACTATTACACAGTACAGAAGAAAAAAAAACGGTTCGAATAATTCTACTTTGTAAGTTTCTTAATTTAAGATAAAATTATCAGTTTTTTGTACCCTAAGGAAAAATGTGGTTGCCTTCTTTCAGCCAGCTGACCAGCAATGTGCAACTACAGGTGGGCAGAGCTGCATTACACCAAGGTCAACTCAACTGCAGGAAAAT